AAGGCTGAGATCTGAGGATCATGATTGGAAACAAGCCCATGCAGGAAAAACCACGAGGCTCTTGTTACCAACGAATTACTCAGAAAAGGCCAGAAGTGGCTATGGCTCAAGTGGTGGAACACTAGCCTTGAAAAAAGAATGTCAAGTTGGGTACCAGTAGCTCACTTCTGTAATCCTAGCTACTCAAGAGGCTGAGATCTGAGGATCACAGTTCAAAGCCAGCCTGGGCAGGAAAGACTATGAGACTCTTATCTCCAATATACTCAGAAAAAGCCAGAATTGGCTCTGTGGCTCAAGTGGCAGAGCGCTTGCCTTGAGCACAAAGAGGCTCAGAGAGAGTGCCTAGGCCTTGAGTTCAAACCCCAGGACCAGCACCGAAAAAGAAAGAAAGAAAGAAAGAGAGAGAGAGAGAGAGAGAGAAAGAGAGAGAGAGAGGGAGGGAGGGAAGAAAAGAAGGAAGGGAAGGAAGGGAAGAGAAGAGAGAGAAAGAGAACAAGCAAGCAATTCTGTAAGAAGATTAAAGCTGAGTTATTCCCTATCATAGCAAAACATTCTGAGAAGTATCTAAAGAAAAGTTGTGGGTTTTTTGTTTTGTTTTGCCAATACTGGGGCTTGAACTCAGGGTCTGGCCACTGTCCCTAAGCCTCTCTGTGCTCAAGGCTAGCACTCTACCACTTGAGCCACATCGCTACTTCCAGCTTTTTCTGTTTATGTGGGAATCAAACCCAGGGCTTCATTCATGCTAGTCAAGCACTCTACCACTAAGCCACATTCCCAGCCCAAATTGTAGGTTTTTTTTTTTTTTTTTTTGACAGTCCTGGGCTTGAACTCAGAGCCTGGGTTGCTGTCCCTGAGCTTTCTTGCTCAAGACTAGAGCTCTACCACTGGAGCCACAGCTCCACTTCTGGCTTTTTTGGTCCTTAATTGGAGATAAGAGTCTCACAAACTTTCCTGCCTTGTCTGGCTTTGGCCAGTGACTCTCAGATCTCAGCCTCCGGATTAGCTAGGACTATAGGAGAGAGCCACTGGCAGCCTGGCAACAATAGAAAAGTTTTAATAGTAATCTTAACTCGTGAGTCAAATCTGATAGGAAGTCTCAATGGAGATAATCTGTAATCTTTCCTAAGCAACAATAGCTACAATGGCTCCTCCTGCCTGTGGCTGCACCTTTGGCAACCTATATGCATGCCTGTTTTCAGTAACAAAGAACTTCATTGTCCACCTACCTAAAGTATGTACTTGGGGTATGAGGGAGAACTAGAATTGGTATCGTGTACTTGAGCCCTCAAAAGCATTCTGGGTTCAGATGACCTCTATACCTGTAGAAGCTTTAAAAGGAGGTGATAGTAGGGGCCCCCACCCCAGAATCCTCTCTGCATGTCAGCTAGGAAGGCTCCATGCTCTAGTAGGCGTACGAACTCAGAACAACAGGAGGAGCAATAGGGGCTGCTGGCACCTGGAGATCCCCACAAAGTGCTCTTGGCAAGACCTTGGCAGACAGTGACAAATGATGGCTTTGAATAAGTACACATACGTACATATCTGATATACTTCTGCATGACCTCTTCCAGGGGCCGAGGACCATCCTTGAGGAAGATAGAGGGGTTCCACATGGCTGATCGGGCCACCATCACTGAAGAGGCCGCTGTGGCTCGTCGAAAGTCCTCTATGTCCAAATGCTTTTGGATGTGGTCATGAGATCCACCACTACAAATCAACAAGGAGTGTCTAAGGCATGGAACTTACCAGCATTTTCAGAAGAAAGGCAAATCCCACAGTTGCCACTCATGAGTAGTATGACCTCTTCAGCTATCAGAGCCTCAGCAAAGGTTAGCTTGTAATTATGAAGCTTGGAACAGTAGGTGAGACAAAATATGTAAAGTACTTTGAACTATGCCTAGCATTTAACAGGTAAGTCTAGAAATTTTACATTCCTTTTCCCTCATCTAAAACAGTGCCCAAGTATTGGGGCCACAGGAGAGCTAAGCAGCCTCCTATACCCTCTCTAAGGACAGGGCCAAAACTCTGGAGACTGGGATACACTGGTGATCATGAGGGAAAGGAAGGAGACCCCATTTAGTCACAATTCCCCTTTTTCCACTATGCTGCTCCAAGGACCTGCTCAGAAACTACTCTGTCCTCATCTGTCTCATTAGGAGTCAGGTGGTAGCCACAGTTCAGAGACTGCCATGTAGGGAGGATTCTCAGATGGTAGCAGAAGCAACAGGCTTCAAAGTCTTGAGTAACTCTGACTTCACTCAGCAAACCATCTCTAAATAGAGGAATAGAGGGCCTGACTACCATCCTTACCCATATACTCTGGCATATCTGTTGTCAGGGCTTGCTTGGTCCCACCCTCTAAGTTCCCTGAGTCTGTGCCATCCTAAGCTACAAGGCTGGCCTATCCCAGCTAGCCTTCAAAGGCCAGTTTCCCAATGGTAACTCTCCATGGTCTAGCAGTAAAAACCTTTGGGCTGTTTATTGGGACTTTTCACCTGCCAGTCCAGGTTCCTGGTCCTGTACAGAATGTTTGTCTAGATTTCCATGTCCTGCCTTATGTTCCCTGAGCCATAATGCTTTGATGATGTCTAGCTTGGGATTCATCACAGCTATAGTCATTGTTTAAATGCTTTTTTTTTTTTTTCTGTCAGTTATGGGGCTTGAACTCTGGGCCTGGGTGCTGTCCTTCAGCTCTTCAGCTCAAGGTGAAAGCTCTACTATTTGAGCCACAGAACCACTTCGGTTTTCTGGTGGTTAATTGGAGATGAGAGTCTTATGGACTTAGCAGGTTGCTGGTGGCTCACACCTGTAATTCTAGCTACTTAGGAGGCTGAGATCTGAGGATTACTGTTCAAAGCCAACTTGAGCAAGAATGTCCATGAGACTCGTATCTCCAATAAACTACTAGAAAACCAGAAGTGGCACTGTGGCTCAAGTGGTAGAGCTGAAGAGCTGAGGGACAGCGTTCAGGCCTAGAGTTCAAGCCCCACAACCAACCAAAAAAAAAAAAAAAGAAAGAAAAAAAGTCTCACAGACTTTCCTGCCTGGGCTGGCTTTGAACCACGATCCTCAGATCTCAGCCTCCTGAGTAGCTAAGATTACAGGCATGAGCCACCGGCACCCAGCCTGTTTAAATGCTCTTTAATTTCATTTTTATATGTCAACTCAAGTCCTTTCTGACAAAGTAGAGCATAAACAAAAGTAAATATGGAAGAAGGGAGGCTTACTTGGCTATGACAGGAATGGAGAGGGTACCAGCAATGGCTTTGATGACTTCACATCTGACAGGGTGCTGAGGTCGCTCTTCCCGCTTCCTTGGAGATAAAGAGATGGGGATAAGGGCTAAGGACCAAAGGCCATGTCATTACACCAGATTACCTTAGTCAAATCTCATCCTCCTTACTAAACCTAAAGATCAGGCAGCCATGTGGCCATCTTAGGCAGATTGAGGGGTGGTCTCCCTGACCTCTAGGGGAAGAACTCTATCTTAAGGGGCAGGGGGAGCATAAGTCCATGCCAGGAAGAGTAAGGTCAGCTCTCAGGAGCCTGCAGATGACACACCGCTGCTGGGGACTAATGTGGGTAGCCCAGCTCCCAAGGTCATGCTGCTTTCCCCTAGCTTTCCCTAGTCTCTGCCAGAAATGAAAGACAGTGCTGTAAGAATGCTCCCTGTACTGCCCCAGTCCTGCCCTCCCCCCAAGGGACTTGGGACAGCTGCCACTGCTCAGATAGGCCACTCCCACACAGCTGCCTGGGCCAAGGCCAAACTGCACAGCTGATCCTGGGGAGAAGCACCTGACACAGGGTAGGCCTCCCACCCAGGGTGGCAGGGCAGGTCACAGACTATAGCTGTCACGACAAGCCACAGGGGCAGCAGGACAGAACCCATAAATCCTCTTTCTAAGGTCAACTACAAGAAGGCTTTCAGCATGACTAAGCAAATCCTAGGGACACAAAGGGCCTCACCTTAGACCATCCTCAACAGCTCTAATAATCAGAAAGTCTTTCTTAAATTCACCCAAATCTGTCTTCTTAGTGCCTCGAAATTCTGCTAACTCCAACAGCTTTGTGTACTAAGAATGCTATATGCAAGGCTTTAGTTTTGTATTGTCAAAAGCTCATCACAATCCTATGAAGTAGAAATTGTCTTACTTTCCAAATGAGCAATGTGTCACTCAAAGAGGTTAAGTGACTGTTCCGAGGATATATAGCTAACAAGTTGCAGAACTGAGATTTGAAAGCAGGCTGTTGAGAGTCTAAAGCCCGCTGTCTCAGCGAGGAGCATACACACATGTGTGCAGCTCTCATTTCCCCTCTTTCACCCAAGCAACCCTGCTTTTCTATGTCAGAGTTTTTAAGTATATTCTGAAAATCCTGTAATAGCCAGGTGCCAGTGGCTCACCCCTGTAATCCTAGCTACTCTGGAGGCTGAGATCTGAGGATCATGGTTCAAAGCCAGCCCAGGCAGGCAAGTCCATGAGTCTCATCTCCAATTAATCACCAGAAAACTGGAAGTTGTTCTGTGGCTCAAGTGGTAGAGCACTCGCCTTGAGCTGAAGAGCTGAGGGACAACGCTCAGGCCCAGAGTTCAAGTCCCATGACTGACAAAAAAAGACAGAGAGAGAGGGAAAAAAAATGCTGTAATAGACACAAGCAACCTGGGTTATCCTATAAGACTGTTGAGTCCAAAAGAAGAATCATTTAAAAAGATCACCAGCCAGTCTACTGACCGGGATTGTGCATAGAGGGACATCCTGACAACAGGAAGCAGATTTGACTGGGAAATCAAAACACCTCAGCTCTCTGCAAAAAGCACATGAGGTACAGATATAAGGACTGTTTAAAGCAATTAGGCAGTCCACCAAGGATAGAGAAAAGAGGAATGCCTTTAAAAAACAGCCATTTGCCTAGGGTCACTTAAGGGAGAAACTGCTGTTCAATGAAGTGCAAAGGAAACAGAATTCATTCAGGTGTGTTGGCACATTCCTGTAATCCCAGTACTCTAAAGGCTAAGACACAAGGATTGTGAGTTCAAGACCAGCCTAGACTAGCAAGACCCTGACTAAAAAAAAGAAGGTGGGGGGAAAAGGGGGAGATGGGAAAGGATGGGAATGGGAAACAAAGGAGGAGGCAACAATGCTTGATAAGAAATGCTCAGCCGGGTGCCTGTGGCTCACACCTGTAATCAATTCTAGCTACTCAGGAGGCTGAGAGCTGTTCAAAGCCAGTCTGGCAGGAAAGTCCCTGAAACTCTTATCTCCAATAAACCACCAGAAAACCGGAAGTGGCACTGTCGCTCAAGTGGTAGAGTGCTCGCCTTGAGCTAAAGAGCTGGGGGACAGCGCTCAAGCCAAGTTCAAGCCCTACAACCAACAAAAAAAATAAAATAAATAATAAAATAAAATTTAAAAAAAGAAATGCACTCATTACCTTGCCCATGTAATTGTAACCCCTCTGTATGGTATTTTCTCAATTAAATTTTTTTTTAAATCCAGTTTAAAAAAAATAAGCAAAGTAAAAAATGAAAAAAAGAAGGTGTACAAGAATAAGGTCCTGGACTAAATCCCCAGTTCCCTCTATATACGCACACCCCAAAAAAAGAGAAAGAGAAAATAGGTCCAAGTTCTAATTCCACCATTTCCTGGCTGCAAGATACAATTTTGAGCAAAATAATACAGATCTACTACATATATATCCTTCCTCTCCTGTCTCTAAGCTTGGAGTAGCTGCCACTAGTAAGTACTAAATGATAAAACACAGATAAACATAAGTCCATGCAGAAAATGCACGCTGAGTTTGTATACCCTCTGGACTCACAAGATGTCAAAGAGCTAGGCAGAAGTAGGCTAAATACATAGGAAAAAGGCTAGATATCACCTGAAGTCTAGGGAGGGATTGTGAAGATGGCCTGATAATTCTTCCTGCCACTCAGTCACTAGAAAGGCAACCACTCACCTTCCATGAACTGCAATAGCAGCAATGCCCGTCCTCTCTATTCGCTTTACAAGGCTCAGGGTATCTTCCAGCTAAGGAAGAGGACAGCATAGGGTGGTTACTGAGGCCCCAGAGGACCAGATGCCAGTTCCTTAAGTTTGCTTAGCTCTATTCCCTCCACCAAACTTAATTCAATGTCTCACAAACCATTCACATCCCCAAACTATCATCACCTGAGAGATGAGAATATCAAATGTCATACACCATTCTTACCGAAGGTAGTATTCGGATCTTGCAGGTCACAGGTCTACAAGTCCCTTTAACAAGTGTGCTAAGGATCTGCAAAGAAAAGAATCAAGAGCACCTACCTCTTCTGGAATAAACTGCCATACTGCTTGGACTAATTAATATTGCTACAGATCTGAGCATTCCAGTAGCATGGACAGCTTGTATAACTGAGAGCACATATATGTATCTGCTGTGTGCATATACATATAGTCTCTAAATAGCAAGAACACTGCCCTTGTTGTATGTTAGAGGCTCAGCCCCAGCCATCTCCTGCCTAGTAGAAAGTGAAGGGGGAGGGGGGAGAATCTACTGACATTCTTACATCTACTGGCATTCTTATGTTTTATACAATTGATTCTTTTCAAGGCTAGAATCAGAATTACCTGGAGAGCTTAAAAGACTCAAACTCTTAGTTTCTACTCCATTATTTCCTGAATGAGTCTCTAGGGGCTGGGTTTTAAAATGTATGTTTCCATAGACTCTGCCAAATGCCCTCTATCCTCAGTATGATTCTGAGGCCTATCTCTGGTTAAGACATGCTCACAGCTGTTTTCTTGAATGAAGGAAAGGAAATATTCCCTGAATGCTGTCCCAGGACTGGCAGAGTGAGATAGCAGGAAGGTTTCTAAGGGCATGGTTCTGTCCTCAGGAATCACTCTTTTCAGATATTTAAGATGAGGAAGTGGCGCTGTAGCTCAAGTGGTAGAGCGCTCGCCTTGAGTTGAAGAGCTGAGGGACAACGCCCAGGCCCAGAGTTCAAGCCCCACAATCGACCAAAAAAAAAAAAAACTATATAGAGCACTCAGATATTTAAGATGAAACTAGCAAAGAGAAAAAAATACATTAAAAACTGTTTATTCCATAGTAACTACAAAGAATTACCAGAGAGAGGGGAGAGAGAGGGAGAGAGGGAGGAGGGGGGAGATATTAAGAAGTCACAGGAAAACATTAGGGAGATACTAAGACATGATCACACATGAGCAAAGATCAAAAGAGACATAGATAACACTGAATGTCTATGGCATTGCTATCTTCTCCCTGAATCAAAAATATTGGACTAGGCAACCTGGTAAGAACTCTTTGCCAAGAACTGGACCTCTGTCTAGCAGAGCAGAAGGCATACCCATGCAGCTGCTACCAGTCTTAATTTTAGATAGGAAAGGGAGCAGATTGCTGGCTGCTAGAACCAAGAGAGGACTTTCTCTAAGGAAGAGCTCAGACCACTGCTCCAGCACAGACCAAGAGACAGGGCTGACAGATAGACAGTTCAAGAGTTAAGACAAGAGGCTGGGAATGTGGCTTAGTGGTAGAATGCTTGCCTCACATGTATGAAGCCCTGGGTTTGATTCCTCAGTACCACATACAGAGAAAAAGCAGGAAGAGGCACTGTGGCTCAAGTGGTAGGTAGAGTGCTAGCCTTGAGCAAAAGAAGCTCAGGGACAGTACCTAGGCCCAGAGTTCAAGTCCCAGGACTGAAGAAGAAAAAAAAAAGAGTAAGACAAGGCTTCTTAGCCCATGAACAACTGCCAGACAGGAAGGACCAGTCCCCAGGTGCTGCCCCAGGCAACAGACTGAGTTTAAGGTCCTAGGTCATCCTGATAGGGCGTAAAGGGGCACAACCTTTTAAAGGGTGAGAGAAAGTGAACTGTTTAAGAAAAACAGGTCAGAGCTGGGCACTGGTGGCTCATGCCTGTGATCCTACCTACTCAAGAGGCTGAGATCTGAGGATCATGGTTCAAAGCCAGCCTAGGCAGGAAAGCCTCTTATCTCCAATAAACTACTCAAAAAAGCCAAAAGTAGGGGCTGGGAAGGTGGCTCAGTGGTAGAGTGCTTGCCTTGCATGCATGAGGCCTGGGTTCGATTCCTCAGCACCACATAAGCAGAAAAAAAAAAGCTGGAAGTGGCGCTGTGGCTCAAGTGGTAGAGCGCTAGCCTTGAGCTGAATTGCTGAGGGACAGTGCCCAGGCCCGGAGTTCAGGCCCACAACCGGACCCAAAAAAAGAAAAAAGAAAAAGCCAGAAGTGGCACTGTGGGTCAAGTGGTAGAACACTAGTCTTGAGCAAAAGAAGCTCAGGGAGTGTCCAGGCCCAGAGTTTGAGCCCCAGGACCAATAAAAAACAAACAAAAAAAAACAAAAACAAAAACAGATCCCTCAGTACAATAAACAAAATAAAATGTCCAGAGACATTTATTAAATTAATTTTATTTTATTTATATCTGTGACATAAAATGTCACTAATGTTTCTAGTTTCTTCGCAAGTGCTCAGTTGGTCTGATCCAATGCTCTGATTATGGAACTTTTTTTTTTTGTCAGTCGTGGGCCCTGAACTCTGGGCCTGAGTGCATCCCTCAGCTCTTCAGCTCAAGCCCAGCACTCTACCACCTGAGCCACAGCACTACTTCCAGCTTTTTCTGCTTATGTGGTGCTGAGGAATTGAACCCAGGGCCTCAGGTGTGCAAGGCAAGCACTCTACCATTGAGCCACCTTCCCAGCCCCTTATGGAACTTCTTTTTATCAGCTCTAAGTATTTTCATCAAAATTTCTGTTCAAACAACAAATTTTGGCAATGAAATGGAGAAAAAGGAATCCTACTACACTATTGATGGGAATGTAAACTTGTACAACCACTCTAGACAGCAGTCTGGAGGTTGCTCAAAAAACTAAATGTAGATCTTCCCTACGACCCAGATATACCATTCCTGGGCATCTACCCTGAACATCATGATCCAGGATATGATAAGGGCACTTGCACATACATGTTCATTGCTGCACTATTCACAATAGGCAATATATGTTAACAGCCCAGTTACCCCACAATTTATGAGTGGATTCAAAAAAATGGGGTACCTATGCACAATGGAATTTTACACAGCCATTAGAAAAAATAAAATTATGTCATTTACAGGGAAATGGATGGAACTAGAACATATCAGTGAGTGGGAAAGCCAAGCTCAGAGAGATGAATGGCTTATGTTCTCTCTGATATGCAGAAATTAAAACTAAAAGGTATTGCGATATGACAAATTATTCAGGATTCTAGATATTCACACATAGTGAGACCTAAAGAGGACCTTCTTAGAAGAAAAACAATAGGACACAATGTCTACATGCCACTTTGAAAAAGAAACTACTCTAAAATGGTAAAGGTACGTTAGAGGCAGATTAGAGGGACTTATCTGTAGCCACACATAGGAAAAATAAGAAGGCACACAAGTGTTCCTCCTACATCTCAGAGACACTGAACAGAGATATACAGAATGGAGCCAGCATTTCCAGCACAAGTGGGTCTAAGTCCCAAGTTGTTCCAGCCTATGGGAAACACCAAGAGCTTGAAGCTCAGACAAGGAAAGGAATAAAAAGGAAAAGAGAAGCTAAAAGGACCAACAGATTAAGAGCTGGTGGGTTGGGAAAGGAAAGTAAAAGGCAGTAAAATGTGGCAGAAATATCACCTCTATTTGCACAGGCAGCCCACAACCCTGAGTGGCAACTGCCAACCTATCCCCAGAGCCATCATTAAACCTGTCTGCAGAATTACCAAGGGACGCCTGCCTCATATGACCCTGGCTGACCTGCTCTCAAAGGTAGACTCAATCCCCCTGCTATGCTCCTCCACTCTCCTAGTAGACACCCATTTTCACACACACACACACACACACACACACACACACACACACCCATACCCATCACTGAATTCATCCTCACCCAAGGTAATCTGGCCTCTGCTCTTCATTAATGAACATCCTGGAAGGGAGAGGAGCAATACAGAAGAGGCTCCAGCCCAGACCTCAGACTCTCTGCTTTTCAGGTGATAGATCTCTAGCTCCAGACTTTTACCAAACTCAATGCTGTCATAGGCTAATTCAACTAATTACAAATCAGAATCACTGGGAAGCATTTTAAAAAATATCCTAAGCCAACTGGTAGCTCATACCTGTAATCCTAAAATACTCAGGAGGCTGAGATTTGAGGATTGCAGTTTGAAGCCAGCCTGGGCAACAAAGTCCATGACACTCTTGTCTCCAATGAACTACTCAGAAAAAGCTGGAAGTGGCACTATGGTTCATAGGGTAGGGCGCTATCCTTCAGGACAAAGAGGCTCACAGTCAGTGCCCAGGCCCTAAATTCAAGCCCCAGAACCAGGAAAAAAAAATCCTAAGCCCCTAGATAGACTTCAATAAATCTGGAGTACGAGGAGGAGGCATTCTGGGAACTCTGTGAGCTCTAGTTCACAGACATGTTCAAGGACCTTACTTTTTACTATGCAGCACTTACCTTCTCAATCTTGTCAGGGTCGGACAGCAGAGCAGCTCCCATTCCTCCCTAGGGAGAAGCACACAGAATGCCTTCTTACAGCTGAGGGAGTACAGCCCCTCCCTACAGAATGACAACTTGTTGTAGCAACTTGGTAACCAAAGCTGCCTACAACTGGCATTTCTCCTCACCAAGTAAGAAGGTGACATCATCCATGTTCACAATATCAAAGATGAAAATTTGATGAGTTCTAGAAGACATCACTCTGATCCCCAGGCATGCATCTCCTATGTCTCTGTCCTCCCTCTAGTTTCCTGCTATTCTAATCCACCAGATAGATGATATCCAGATTCATGTTTCTAAAGCAGTCTAATCACATGCCTCCTCTTTTCAAAAAAGGTCAAAAGTATTTAATGCACAGGTCCAGCTGACTTGACCCTAACCATGATTTTCCTCCTGTGCTTTCTCTTCCTCCTCTTCAGCTCTTCCCGCCCCCCCCCCC